GTTGGCGAGACAGCGCAGCACCGGGCAGATGAGCTGTGACGGCGGGAAGCACAGAGCCCTGCCGCCGGACCGCATCCCCACAGCGATGCCGGGGCCAGCCAGCACCCCGCCCGCGTCTTACCAGCTCCAGGCCCTCGGGAGCATCTTGGCGGATTTCGGAGGCCAGGTCGAGCAAGAGCGAGGTGAGGGCAGGCAAGGCCCCCAGCGACAGCAACGCCGCGGTGCCTGCGGGGCTGCGAAGGGAAGGGACAACGCGGTGGCACTCGGAGAGGGAAAACTGCGGCAGCCCTCGCCAAACAGCGGGGCCTGGAAATTCGGAGCGCTCCCCCTGAACCACCAGAGGGCTCGTTTCGTGTTTGACTGGCAGGTTGTTTCTGAGCTTATGGGAAAGTTTAAAAGCTCATAGAAAACAGATCCACTGGAATGATCTGTGTGGGTCTGGAAACAACAGCCCCGATCCTTCTTTGAGTACCCACGTTCCTTTCTGCTGGGGCCGCTGAAAGAGATGGCACGGGGGCGGCCACGCCAAGGCAGGCAGAGCTTGTTGGCAGCAGCCAGCCCAGCCGGGTGACACCGGGCCAACCCCAGAAGCGTGAGGATTCGGGGAGCGTGCCTCTGGCAGTGCAGGGGACAACTCCAGACACGGGGAGGCGACCAGAGGCGTTTCAGAGGACTGGGAACAGCCGCCTCAGGTTCCTCACCTGTTAGCGTCCTGTAAAGGAACTCGGTGATCCCGCACACAGCACGTGCTCAGACAGGAGAGCGGGAATGCCCAGGATGGCAGGGAAATTGCTTTTGAAGGGAAAGGGACAAGGGGAGGCAATCCAGGTCCCCTCACCGTAAGACTTCGTGCCTCTCTGTTTGGCTGCCCCCAGGGAACTCAAAATGAGGAGAAAAGCGTATTTACCTACAAACGATGTAGTGGAGACACCACGCGAACTCCACGGCTGCTCCTATCCCAGCCTTGAGGCCAGAGCAAACCAGTCGAAGCATGTGCTGGGGGAGAACAGAGTCCAGAACCAAGCTGGGGTCAGAACAGCAGAGTTAACGGAGGCACAGGCCAGAGCACAAACAGGACAGACAGGGGACGGGGAGACACAAGCCCTGGCCACCGAGCAGGGAGCTGCTTCCCCCGTATTGGGGGCCACATGCTCCACAACCACACCTGGAAGAGACTCTTCACCAAGGGCTGCAGCATCAGGCGCCACTAATGCCCAGCACAAGCTCTCCCTGTCTGTGGCAGGGCCTGGGGGCGCTCGGGACACCTTGGCTGGGGTCACAGTTTTGGCACTGTGGGCTGTCAAGCTGATCATCTCCTTCGCAGGAGGAATACAGCCAGAATTTCCCTGCGAGCCTACCCTGCTCACGCTGTCCTTTACCGAAATACCAGAGCTGTCTGCTCAGATGAGGCTGAGCGAAGAGAGTCAAGCCCCACGCCCTGATCTGCAACAAAACCTCCAGAGTTCTGGTAGGATTCTGCTCTGAACTATTAATATCACCGGGATGGGAAAGGCACCGCTGTCCCTGGCACGCAAATACCACGCCAGGCCCCAGGGCCCATCCTGACGCAGGGTTAAGAGGCTCGGACTCACGGTATGATCTCTGTGGGGGCTTCCTTGGCTTGGAGGAGCTGCGAGAGGACATAGCCCAGACCTTCCAGCACAGCCTCGTGCGGGGACTGCAATCAAACAGAACAAAGCTAATCCCTCATGATAGAGCCAGGGGATCTCAGGGTGCCAGCTGCCACGCTGGCGAGCGGGCGATACCTCTTTGTAACACCCAGCCACGCAGCTGAGCGGCGCAGTCTCTCCGTGCCTGGACGAGAGGGGGCACAGCAGGGCACCGGGAGCGAGAGAGCAACACGTGGCCACACCAAAGCTGAGCTGTCCCCCCTCCCCACAATCACAGGGGCTGCAGCTGCAGGGATGCAGGAGCTCGAACGCAGCAGCAGTGCTGCTTTGAGCATTCAGAGCTGCAAACGACAGCCCCGCGCACTGCGTTGGCCTCATGCTTGCTGGACCCGAGCTGTGCAGAGGGGAGAAGCCTCCAGCTCCCCGTGTTACAGGCTGTCTATCAGCAAGCCACGGTTACAGACGTGAGAGATTTAGCTGGAGGAGAGCACAAGAGCCCTGACACTGGGAGCGCAGGAGAGCCCATGAGAGACCCTCAGCCTGCAGGCGAACAGCCCTCTGCCCCTGGAAGGAGGGCTGGTAACTCAGCACTGTCAGCCAGCACCTAAAGGGCCTAAGAAAAGGCAACTTTCTGGGGCAGGGCAGGGGCAGAGCGTGGCTGAGCTATTTCACCCACCTGGATGCAGGATGCCAGCACTGGAACGATGCCCTGAGGCAGAAGCTGCTTCCTCACAGCTTCACTTTCTACTACCAGGTTCCCCAGCGTGTACAAGCACAGTTCCTGAAACACATCCGAGAGAGCAGGTCACCCCCTCTGCACTCCCCAGTGGGACCCTGGGCAGCCAGCAAGGCCCCTAGGTCCCTGCACCCCGGCACGAGGGCACATGCTTCCCCCGAGCGGGGCAGAAGCTGGCTCCGGAGGGGTAAACAGGTGGATACTGGTGGACTCTCCAGCTACCTCGTTCCCAGCTGTATCAGCTTCAATTTATTCTTTTTCTATCTGGCTCAGGTTGGGTCTGATCACTTCTACTTCAGAGGTTTTTCAGGCTTCTAATTATTGCTATGGCGTTTCCCTGAGACCCCTCTAATTCCACAGTATTCTCCTGGAGACTGCCCGTGCGCCGCCTTAAAACGCGATCACCACCGTGGGGTCGCTCCCGCCTCGGTCCTTAGCTCTGACCCCGCCTGCTCCTCACGGGAGCACAGCGCGCTCCGCAGGGCACCGCTTCGCAGGGCACGCTGCTCAGCCGCCGGCGAACCGCACGGGTGTCCCAGCGCTCCCCGCTCCTTCGCCCGCATCACACTGCGCAGCTTGGCGCCGCGGGCGCTCTGCTCTTCCTCCCGACCTGGACGAAGGCCTGCCTGCTTGCTGCACGAAGGGGAGCTGACCAAGTGGGCGTCCCTGCGCCCCAGCCTGCAGCTGCTCATTTCTCTCACTTCTCTAAGATCTTTTATGAGACCTAAACCGACCTCCATCTAGTATTTCTGCTTTACCCGCCACACAGACACCAAGGTACCTCCCGTCCAGACCCAGCCTGTGTCAAGATGCCAGACCAGGAATCTGATGATGGAGCCCAACTGCCACAACCTGCAGTCCCTGCTTCCCCAAACGCAGCTTGGAGCTGGAAAGGAGGAACCCATTGCAAACCGGGCAAACCGCTGCCAAACCGCTGCATCCTGGGCTGCAGCAGGAGGATTTGCCCGGCTCGGACGAGGCTTGGGAGCGTTTAAGGGCAGGCTGCAGCTACCTGGAAGGAGGTGCAAACATGATGGAACCAAACTCCTCTTGGTGTTGGGACGGGGCACAGGGAAGAGGGTCTCCAGATTTCCAAGATTTGGCCAGACAAAGCCTTGCTGCCCTGGGCTAGCACTGGGGACAGTCCTGCTCCAGGGGGAAGGCTGGAGACTTCCAGAGGGCCCCTTCCCACCAGCGCTCCTACGTGAGCCACGTTAGGCTAAGACTGGCCAAAAGAGCCAACACCCAACGGCTACCAAAGGATTATCAGGTGCCAAAGCCCTGGCAAATGCAAGCACAGATCTTACCGTGAACTCAACGCTGTGTCCTGAGAGGTAGGTGAGGAGATAGGAGGTCACTGGCAGACACGCCTCAGCCACAGCCGGGTCACTGGAGTGGGAGAGCTCGTGGAGGCAGCGGGCTGCCTCCATCTGCATGTCGGCCAGGCTGCTGGTGAAGAGCCCAATGAGCGTCCGGATGCTGCCGTCCAGCCTGGTGGAACCCAAAGGGTGCTGTCACCTCCAGCCTTCCCACCCTCGGCCACACACCAGCTCACCCACACGATGACTGGGACAAAGGGCTGCTCTGGACATGCCCTTGATAACAGCCAGGCAGTGCTGACCTGATGAACTTCTGCTGAGTCTCCGTGTTCTGCAGAGCCCGGCGGAGGCAGCTGAGTGATCTTCTCCTGTCCTCTGAACCCCTCTGCACACCTCTGAGCAGCTCAAGAACCTATCCGGAAATTAAAAGATGGGTGAATTTCCAGCGGCGCCAGGGTTAAGATATATCACCCTGTTCATCCTGGAGGCAAAGAAACCCAGGGTGCAAAGATGGCCACAAAGAACCTTACTGTTTCTCACCATGTTTGGCAATGACTCAGAAAACACTCCCAAACCCACCTCCACCCAGGCTCCTCCACATGCCTAGAGGCTGGGGAAGACCCCAGGGACACCCATCACCACGGAGAACATCACGCTCTTCACCTCAGCCTCCGAGAGAGGGTGCGGCACGACCTCTGCTCCATCCTGTCCACCCTCTTCTGCTGCGGTGTCCTCCCGCAGAAGCCTCTTGCTGACCAGCTGCTCCTCCCGCCGGGCTTTCCTGAGAGCTGTGATCGAATCGGTCCTTGTCACCGCCCGCCTAGTGTCAAAGACGCTTTTCCATCCCACCACAGAGCCTTATTCAACAGGGAGAACCTGCCAGCTCCTCCTTGTGCGAGCCGCAGAGGGACGCACGGGGCAAGGGCCGCGTTTGGACCTCGCGCGCCGCAGGGCTGCAGGGCCTGGCGC